TCTAATTATTGTTCTATCTTTATTTAATTGCTAACCTTTGGAGCTATTGTAAATATATTGTGTAGGGTCCTAATACACCTACTAATTGTATAGTTATGATTGTTATGCATATTTTATCACTATATGTAGCGGCATTTTTGACGATAAATAAAATAAGGGGATATCCTTAAAGTACCCCTAAGTTCTAGGAAATTGACTTACTCTACCTCTACTATTTAGAAATTAGCTTAAAGTACCCTTAAGTTTTTTGATAATTGGTTAAATCCTCCCCTATTGTTAGGATTCTATCACAATCCATTCACATGTAACATTGTTGGGACTGATGGCCTTACCTAAGAGGGGGGGGGGGGGTGAATTGGGTAGAGTTCTAAAAACTAATTGTCTTTGGAATTCAATTTGAATTCTTAGGCTATTGACAATTAAGCTCAAGATCCTTTCCCTCAACATGAATCTAAGCCTAGTAACAAATAATATGTAGTAAAAGTTTAATGAATTAGTTAATTAGGTTTAGCAGTTAACCAAGATAGTAAATTTGAACTAACAAAACTACCGAACTAGTAAACCTATAGCTACAAAACAAATAAACAAATATAGTAGCAGGAGCTACAAGGGTTAACAATCAATAGTTAAGCATAGTAATAATAATAAGGACTATTAACAAGACGATAACAACTAATAAATAAATTAAACAATAATAAGGACTATTAACTGTAGAAAGTAAAGTGCAGTTGAAAATAAGCACAGATGTAAACGAAAATTGTACCTGGTCTTGTGTGCCTTAGCATCTAGGGAGAGAGGACCAACCACAAACAAATAGTAGAGAAATGGAGCAGCTACACAAAGATAGCTAAGATATAGATTGACTATCAAAAACTATAAATCTAATTGTCGAAAAGTAAACTACTATTGGAATAATATAAATGAACAACAAATGTAAACAACGGAATAATAAACATAAAGCAGCAATGTCAAAGCAGTTAGTATGGTTAGTGATGTTAGACTTCAAACTGCATTAACCTTATATATATCTTGCAAATGTAAAAGAACCAAAGTGCAAATCTGCAAATTTGAAAGCTAAGTGTCAACAATTAATTTTTGTTCAATCTCTTCACCCTACTTCTTTATATCTTTTTTCGAGACCCCCAAACTTGAATACTTAAACAAATCAATTGAGACCTGCTAAAACCCAAAATTCCCTCTTTTTTGCACAATTCGCACATCAAATGCCCGACTAAACTACACCAATAAACTTAACCTCTGATTAACAAGAATATTGAGATCAACATCTAACATACATAGGCTTTAGTAACTTGATCAAGCACAATCGTTAGACTTAGAAAACTAAAACTTAGTTACACGTTGAATTTCATAACCAAATTCTAAAGATCCATAATTCATCATACTAACTTTTTTAACGGTTTTGATTTATGCAATGTTTGAACCTTGACTTTACAAAATCAAATCTAACATATCTATTGCCTTATGGATACTAAGATACAATCAGTCCTCAAATCCCACCTTAAAATACAATAATCAACTATAAAAATGCCAAGATTCTATTTCGACAACATTAGATTAATAAAACTAAACAACCAAGATCAACAAATTCTTTCTCAAATCAGAGCCTTCCACCTAACTCCCCATCTTAGTTCATGCCTGCACACCAAAATTTATCTTAATTGTCCTTTCTTTAACCATTTGATCAACGAAGATTCAAATTTGATGTTTATGATTAATCACACGAGAAATTGTAACCTAAGCAACCAAACTCCTCTCTTTAAGTCCAAAATCCTCAAATAGCCTAATTGTCTAATTTCAGCTTTAATTTTTTTCATTTCCTTCTAAATAAGCAATATTCCATTTCAAGCTACCTCATTCATTAATGAGCCATAAGCTAAAATCATAATCGAAATTAAATCTTTCAGCCTACATCTCTGATCAAAGATCTATCTTTTTTAGGGCTGTCATCGGTATTCAAAAATCTAATTTCAAATAGAAGATTCAACATAATCGAATCAAATTCAGATTATTCGAATATCATAATCAATCAAATTTGAATATCCTATTCATATCGTTTAAGTAATCAAATCAAATTCAAATATAAAACTGAATTCAAATATAACCTGATTTAATTCGATAAGTATTTGAATTCAACCAATTATTTAATTCTTATATATAATATATACAATATTTAAATATTTTATATAATTTAAATATATAATAATTAAATTATATAAATAATTTATATATTTATATACTTTATATAAATAAAATATTTATTTTATATATTTATTAATTACCTAAAATAATTAATCAGTTGAATTCGAATCGAATCAAATATTCAAATATTTAGTCGATTTCAAAGAATATTGATTTTGAATATCTATCGAATATCGAATCAAATTCGGATATTGAACTTTTTTTAATCGGATTTGAATTCGGATATTGCCTGATTCAGTTTGAATTTGATCTATTACACCCCTAGTTTCTCCCATTAGATTCAAGATGTTCAAAAATGCCTACCCACCAAATTTCATCCTAAAATTCCGTCACTTGACCTACTACCAAACCAATATTCCATTTTAGTAAATCTTATTAATTAAAACTTATCAATCATAGATTGTCATCGTACAAGTCTTATTTGACTAATTGAACATCACCACCATGTTCAAAGACCCAAAAAAAGCTCAATACAACAAGTTCTATTACATAATTCCTCCATTTGATTGTTAAACAAGAAAGATCCATTTATAACATTGATTAACGTAGTTAATTAAACACTCTCTAAGAGACATCCCCACCATAGCTTTAAACGAAGGGGCGAAGATACATTCAATCCCTAAACCCCAAAGCTAACTAYGACTTCTCTAAAAAACTAACCAGAATTACGAGGAGCATGCAACAGTTAGAGGTGAAAAAATATATCGCATTTCTTATTAAATAGGGGAGAGAGAGAGACAAATTAATTGGTTCTATAAACATTTTTGATTGTTTATGATAATAAAGGTCAATTTAGTAATTTTACTATACTGTATAACGTTCATTAATAGTATTGAACTAAAATGACACTTCCCAAAATCCACATGTTTTAAGATTTGAGTAGTATAGTGAGGGTACCCAAAGGATAGCGTATTACTTTTAGAGTTTAACCTTATAATAGAGAGAAAATTGAAGGATAAATTAAAAAGACCCCGAGTGACAAATACCCCCTAAAATTTCATTTGCAACAAAGACCTTCTTAAACTTTTACTTTGCCACAAATACCTCCTATGGAATGCATTAAATTATTAAAATAATCATACAAACTTTTCTTATTTTCTTTTTCTTGCCCTTTTCTCTTAAATTCTATTTGACCAAAAATACATCCATTTTCTTCGAACAAAACCATCTAAAATAACAAGAGTCATTTCACTGACATAGAAAATATAAGTTTTTTTTTAATTATCGATTCATTTCGCTCACATGAATGTCTCTCTTCATCTTAAAATATAAAAATTATCCACTCTCTCCAATAATTCAAGAAAAAACAAATGAAACTATAAATTTATATCTATTAGAAAGAAACTTCTAATATTTCATTTGAATATTGAATCCAGCTAGTTACAAATCTATAAGGATCTATTGGAGCGATCAAGAGCGCCTCAATGTTATCTTTAAAAAACTAATCGAATCATAAATCATTCAAACAAATAAGAAAATAGTAGTTTGGGGATTTAAAAAAATTATAAAGGAGGGGGGTATTTGTCACAAAAAGAAAGTTTAGGAGATCTTTATTTCAATTGAAAGTTCAAAGATTTTTTTTTTCACTTACCCCATAGTACAAAGGGTCTTAAATTGTCACAACTAGTCGTAGTTTGGATGTCCTACCCACTAGGGCTGTTCATAAGAAGGCCCAATCCGACCAAACCGACCAACTCGGACCAACCCAACCCGAGTCGGCCGGGTTTTCATCAGCATCGATTGATTTTGGGTTGTACAAATTCATAAACTGATGGTTCAGGTCGGTTTCGATTTTCTTGTGTGAAAACCAAAATCGACCCGAACCGAACCGATTTAGTTCCTACTTAACTAAAAATTAAAATATCTGAAAATATATATTTCAATATCTATATCTAAAAAATATATATTATAAAATATGTCAGATATATATTTCCAGAAAATATATATTCCAATATATTTGTATGTATATTTTTGTTTATATATATGCATATATAGATATATATATATATATATTTCTAAAATACATATTTCAGTTTTAAATATATTTCCA